TATAAAATTTACTAATCATGGAATTAAAAAATAATAATAATAATAAGTAAACATTTTTTTCCCACCCAAGGTTTGTCATAACGATACTTTCCACTCAAAAAGTTTCAAAATATAACTTTCTTACCCAAAGTTAATATTTCATTACTACCCAAAGCCGATTATGACGGCGAAAATTCTTTCCCTCACTACCATTTTAACCTCCGATTTCCTCTCTACAAAACCTCTCTTACTCCAACACCTGATTTCTCATAAATTGTTGGCCACCACAAAGCTAGGGTTTCCTGTTCTTAGCTGATTTTCGGCTGATTCCGATGACGAATATTCAATATATTACCACTTTTCGATCCACCAGTCTCCACTCTACAAAAATTTTCTTACCTTGCCTCCTAGTAACTTGTCGAACGTCGGTAGAGAAAGTGAAGAGTATTTTGGTAACGAAATATACAACTTGGTTGGACCAATAGTATTTTGAAACTTTTGGGGTACAAAGTGTCATTAGGCAAACCTTGAGTGGGAAAAAAGTTGTTTACTCCCCCCCCCCCCCCCCCCCCCCCCAAAAAAAAAAAAAAAAAAAAAAACACGATGAAAGAATGAGATTCAAAGCGGGGGAGAATAACATGTTCCCACCCAAGATTTGGTGGAGCGGCACTTTCCCACCCTTAAAGTTTCAAAATGACACTTTCCCACCCTTTGTTAGATTCTCTTATATTTTCTGTTAATATTTTATTGAAATGATGAAAATATCCTTAAATATTTAACTTTATAAATGTTTTTATTATTTTTTAATTAGCCAAAAAGTCAAATATCAAAAAGTCAAAAAAGAAAAAAATAGTTAACCTCACTTAAAAAGTTAGGAGTAATTCTATGAAATTGTTTAAAGTTAAATGACCTAAATATTTATTTATTTATTGATAATGTCATCAATATCCCATCATTATTATTCAATAATCTACTAAATTTATAATTTTTTTCATTTTTACTTATTAACATAGAAAATCAATATTTATAATTAATTTAAATAAACAAAGGGAAAAATATATCTTTACATTTGAACTAATAAATAATCGAGTAAAGACTTTAACTTAACTAAATTTTAATTTATAATAAACTATTTAAAAGTATTTTCATCTTTTCAATCAAATATTAATAGAAAACACTAATAAAACCTGACGAATGGTAAAAAAGTGTCATTTTAAAACTTGACGGGTGAGAAAGTGTTGTTTCGCCAAACCTGGGTGAGAAAATGTCGGCTCTCCCTCGAAGTGGTGGTGTAGATTGTGTGCTTATGTGGTGATGGACCAAAGCATTTATGAATATTGAATAAAGGTGGGAATTGAAGGCTTGAAAAGTAAAAGCTATTCCAATCCACTTGAATTTCTTGCATTTTTTGTTAAAGTCATGAGAGGCTTCATCCCCACGTATGATATGATGAGTCTCCTTATTATTATAATTGATGCACGAGTCATGCCACACCGTTTTTCTTTTTTTAATTATATTTTTTTATAAGAGGTAACGATTTATTTCCATCCAAATTTATATTTTGACGAGGAACAAAAAGCAAACGCGATCCAAGTTGTTGGGGTTTTTGAAGAAGGGAGACCGTTGAGTTTTTTGGTGGTGAAATGTTGGATATTGATTGTTGGGATTGATCAGAATTTGACTTGGGAGGGATGATGGTCCAAACCCTAATCGCTTGATTACTGGCGATTGGCAGGTTGACGAGATTATGTTTTGAGAGGTTTTGATGAGTGATGATCGGAGAAGATAATGGTGGTGGTATGAGGTTGCAACGATGTTGGAATCAGGAACGAAATATAAACTTAGGTATTTTAAAAGTCTGTGTATGACAAAGTGTTATTAAACCATTATTCGGGTGGGAAAAAGTCGTTTACTCTTTTTATAATTCAAAAATCTCAAATTCTACAAAATAAAAAATGCAAGAAATTCAAGTGGTATGTACCTTTAGAATAAAAATGCGTACCTTTAGAATAAAAATATGTATATTAATATTTAAATATTTGCTTTTTTCAAAGAATTTTGTTCATAATTGTGTCAAATCTTCAACAAAAGTATGTATAAAGGTAAGATGTTATCTGTGATAGAATTTAAGGTGGGCTTGACTCTTCATCCAATAAGGCCTTATTGAATAAGAGGATTATCCCTTCTTATAAATCAGTGGGCTTGAGCGTGCCTAGTCGGTGTGGGACTCCAACACTCTCCCTCACGGTCAAGCCCATATGTCGGATCATGTCTGTTAATAGAGGTAGTTATTGGCTCAAACTCCTCACCCGCTGGTCAAACACTCAGCTCAACTGAACCTAGACTCTGATACCATGATAGAATTTAAAGTAGGCATGACTTCTCATTCAATAAGGCCTTATTGAATGAGAGGATTACCCCCTCTTATAAATCAGTAGGTTTGAGCGTACCTAGTCAGTATGAGACTCTAACAATCTATTAGGCCCCAAATTTTTTTAATTAAAAAGCAAAAATTAGAATTCTTGGATTCTAGAATTTGTTCGATACAATGTATTATATCTTTATACGTCTTTGTTCACATTCGTCAATTTTCAACTAAAAGGTTTTATATAAATGGATGATAGTATTATTAAGACTACTGTTTCACGCACGATCTTTTTTTTCTAATTAAAAAAAAGTCATTGAATTCAATAATTTAACCGACACGATAATGGTACTAGATGTGGAATGAGAAATATGGTTGGATTTATTTCAATTTACACAACATAAATCTTGACTAGTCCAATTAACATAACATGTGAATATCGTTTAAGGAGCATAAAATTCAATAAATGGGGAATGGAATTTCAAATTGGATGATGACAATTAGTAAAGCAACCCAAAGAGAAAATATTTTTGGAATAATAAATAATTGATAGGCAAAAAGCTTACTCGAAATGAGAATTCCATGAAAAATATGTGAGAAAATATCGCAAAAATATGAAGAGCAATGTTACAGTTGCTGAAAAAATATACCGAATTCACATACCAACATATGTGGTACCGTCTGTTTTTCTTAAAAAAAATTCATAATTAATGTACGATCAAGATAATGCCATGTCTGTCAGTGCGTGAATTCAGTGTATTTTTTTTTTTTTTTTCTATAACTGTATCATTTTTCAAATATGAATAGTTTGATTGGTGCATGCATGTAGACTTTTATGGGTAGGAATAGGATTCATAAAATAATTCATATTTAAGTTTGATGAATTAAATGGTAAAGGAGGATGCATGTAGCCTTTATAAATCGGGTCCAATTTTTAATTGATTTTGCCAATTCATAAATAGTGACCTTCGTCCCCACTTTGCTTTTGAACATCTTTGAGATTTGAGAACCAAATACTAGTAGTTATAATTCCACCCACTAGACGAACCCTTCTTCATAAATCATTGTCACATCTTTTGAGAAGATCCAAAGTCTTGCAATCAAATTATTCATAACTTTTTTTTTTTTTTTTTTAAACACAATAATGTGATAGGAACCACCCCAATAACTCGAACAATTGGGTTAGGCCATGAGTCTTTTACGAGTTTAGATAAAACTTTCTTTGAAAAATCGGCTTGTCAAGGAAGGGTGCATAAACCCTTATAACCCACATGCCTGTTCCAATGTGGGATCTTAACATAATGTTATGTATAGAAAATATCCCACTTGATATGATAATTTATTTGGTAAAATTATTTTCACTTATTTCATCGTTATATAATTAAGGTGATGTAATTAAATTAATTGTCACATGGTTTGGCACATAAAGTTGAAATCTCATCTAATAGGTGTTAACAACCATTGATCTGGCCGTTTTTGGCCATCGATCTGGCCAGAAACGGCTAGATCGGCATACAGCTAGTTAGATCCAGCCAGTCGTGCATTGTTCTGTCACCGACAGCCGACAGTGGTGGTTGGCAGCCAGCCGCTGATGGTGGTGGCCAGATTTGATCACTAGTCTTGGGTAATTGTTTTCAAGTTCAAAAATATTTATGTCCTAAAATTTTTGTGTATAAAGATGAAATAGTCTATGAATATTTTTGTAAATTGTTTTCAAAACAGTGGCATTATTGTTTAAAAATTTAATAGTAAAGAGTGAAATTGTAACAAAATTAAGATTATCAAGTAATCTTAAAATAACTAAGAAAATGACAAGTTTAGACTTTTAATAGCTGGGTCAATTTTTTTTTTTTTTTTTTTTAAACAGGGTGTTTACGTCAACTTGCACACACTTCGACTAATCCGTGTAAGTGACTAGCACATCATTCAACCACCATAATACATTGTAACCATCTATCCCAGTTCTCGTTCTACCACTTGAACTGCCCAAGAGTGGGTTACCTAAGCCAAGTTGGGTCTACCCAAGTTTTAATTTCCACCCCAGGCCTCCGAACTATATATATTTAAAATCCTTAATTTTGGTAATTTATGTGGTTGTTGATCCACGTAAGTTAAGGTTCCAAATTTGTTAGTGTTATAAGGGTAGCATTATTTCCTTATATAAGGGAATCGCTTCTAATATTACAGTATTTTCTAATAGACGAAATAAATTGGATCCAAAATTAAGATTTTAAATTTGTATATGAATATTATTTTTTTTCTCAGGGCGTAGTTAGAAACTCATCATCGGGGTCAAGATGTTAATTAAATTTAATAATATAATTATAAATAAACTTATGATAAATAATATATTGGGTATAAGTTATACAAAAATATGAGTATATATTTATATATATATATTTGAATCTTGATAATTTTTTAAAATGTCAACTCCCCACCCACCGCGGGGTGTTTCTAGTAATAATATTATGGTTATTTTGAATTTATGGTGGGAGAGGGAGACTACACCATACTATACACGTGATCTGCAAGTTCACACACAAACTCTATATGCATTTCAAATTTTAATTTTCAGGGCAAAAACTACCAGACAGGCCCAATGTTGTTACTACTGGCCGGTTGAGCCCTTGGAGTTGGAACAACTTAATAAAAAATAAAAAATAAAATAATATGAGACTTGGGATAACATCGTAATAAGCAATATTACACTTACCGATTATGCATATCGATTTTCCACTCCGACTAACGTGGAGTGTGACGTGGTCGGTATAAGGACTTTCCATGTCACACTCCATGTTAGTCGGGATGAGGAGTCGATTTGTAGAATCAGTATGTGTAGTAACCTAATACTCAAGAGCAAGACAACACTTAACGATTCTGCAGACCGACTCTCCATCCTGACTAACATGGAGTGCGATGTGGAGAGTCCCTATGCCAACCACGTTGCACCCATTTCAATCAAAATGTGGATTTGGTCTGCAAAATCGGTAAGTGTAGTATTTTTTTTTACTTTCAATTTGAACCATTTTTTTAGAAGATCTGTGCTTGGAACAAACATAATAATACACAAAATGTGTACTTAACGGACTTAATCTTACAACAACAACAACAACAATCATACTATCAAAGCTTTATTAAAAAATTTCAAAGTAATTAATCATGCCTTTTATTCCTCTACGTGTTGTTATTATTGTGAAGATCGATCACTAGTAATTCCAACGGCGGAGCAGCGGCATAACCATGAACTTCATGTTGCCATCTCTACAATGGAGGCCACCACGTTCGCCGCAGGCAAAGTAGTGAGGCTGCCACTTCTTCAGAACAAATTTGAACCCCTCGCCGCCGCCTTGTGTGGAGTTTGCAATCATCTTGGCCTTCGACAGGTCGCATGCCTGGTAGCTCCAAAGATTTGGCAGCAAGTAAACGCTGTGTGGAAAAACTTTTGCGCTCGGAGGATCATACTTGAAAACTGCAAGTTCAAAATGATAACATGATCATTTTTAGTTCAATACTTCAGTTAACTGTAAACTTTAAACCCTAATGGGAAAATGTATACAAATAAACTGACCTAGAGTGTCATTAACGTAGAAGGGAGAATTTTGGAAAGCCCAGACGCTGTAGTTGAAGCCGAAGTGCCAGTTATCGGAGCCACCCACTGTGATATTATTTGGAGGATTTAGATTGTTGTTGTGGGAGCCATGCTTGGGAATGGGAGGAAAGAAAGTGTAGTTGAAGCCATAGGACCAGCCCCTATTAGCCATGGCAACTGTCAACATTGAAGCTGCAGCTACAATTAGAACAAGTCCATGAGCAACAGTCGATGCCATAGTTTTACAGTGAAGGAATCAATCGATGGATGTTGGTGTTGACAGAATGGTGGCATTAATGGTGTTCTTATGTAGAGAAAGAGAGAGGCAAGGAGACTAGTGCAGAACCGCCGAATTGAGCCTTTTTTTTTTTTCAACAGAATTAAACATTTTTTTAATGAAGCTCTTATTAATTTCTGGAATTGTTCATGGGAATTCAAGAAGTCGTCCACTTGGGTGTGTTTTATGCTTACAAAGAATCAACAATGTTCAGCTAAAGAGAATTTTGTTAGTGGAATTTAAATACGTCTTTTAATAATTAATTATGAATACGAAAGAGGCAAAGAGAGCTTGAAACAACCACCCCCGGGTGGTCGGATGGGATAATAAGGACTCTGAGATGTCTTACTCAAAAAGTCTTGAATTCGATTCCCCTCGATTACAAATAAGAGTGGCCATATGAAGTTTATCTAATTGTTAACTTCAGGGGCCGAGAGATTAGTTGAGATATGTGCATACTAGTCCGAATACGCCGGTCACCTAAAGGAGAGCTTGGAATTTTTCAATATGATTAAAGTTAAAGTATAAAAGAGATTAATAATAATATAAAAAAATACTGCAATGGGTTGGTAGCCGAATGAGAGGAAAATCTTCTCTCATCACAAGAAAAGGGAACACCTAATTCTACAGTAAATTATTACTTGAAGTTCTTTAATTAAAAATTTCAAAGTTGACCAGGGCAAAGTCAATCCACCATGAATCAAAGGATTAATGTTATTCTAACAGATTTAACTTGACTAAAGTTGGAAGTATAGAACTACGATTGAGTGATGCAACGATGATGGTACAAAAATACATTATCTATCTATTAATAAATATATATTTAGATGAATTTAAAGTGGAGGTTAGGGCTGGAAAATTTATTGCTACCCGAAGATCTGCCCAAGGATGGCGACCTCGACTGAAAACTTTGATGGTATGAAAACTTTGATAGTATGATAGTGTTGATGCGAAACTCCCACATCGGCCAGAGATGAGGGCTTTGATAATTTATATAACACAATAACACCCTCAAAAACCCAAAGACGTCTTTTTAGGATAAAACTGTACAGATTTGGCAATAGCCTAGCCTATGGTTCCAAAGCGAATAATACCTCTAGAAACCCACCTTTAATACACTGACTACCCTATGTAAGTTTTTCTCCTCATATAGGCATGCAACGATGCTTTCTTTAATTCTAATATTTAGTTCTGTAATAGATGGTGATAAGGCAAGATCATCCGTAAGTAATTAATTTATTAGTAAGTTTAATTAAATGGTTTCACGATGTTGACGGTGATGAGGTGAAATCGCTTCATGTATGTATTTCTATTTTATTTCACGTAAATTAGTGAAACAAACTTGGTGATCAATAGGGTTTTAGAAAAACAATGTCATACTTACAACTAAGTCATACAAACAGACAAAATCAAAGGACAAAGTAGCCACTTTACATAAATTTTGTGTAATTTTTTTCTGTTCATATGACTCAGTTGTAAGCAAAACATTATTGTTTTTAGAAACCTTATATCTTTCGGAGTGCTATTAATTAATATATATAAATAAGAGACCATCTCAAAACTTTATTTAAAATTGAGAAATTGTATTATTATATTAAGGGGCCGTTTCGATCGGGTTAAAATGTTTTAACGAGGGTAATATATGTTTAATTGAGTAGATAACCATATTTGGTTGTTTTGTACAAAAACATTACCCCAAAAAAATGACAAACAGTGCCAAAAATGGGGTAAATTGTCAGGCATAATATTACCCCGCGGGGGTTGGTTGTTTATTAAAATATTCCTCTAGTAATCATAATTTTTGTCCAATTTTGCCCTTAAACAATGGACAATGCAGACAAAAATATCATTTGGTTTGTTAATAATTACAAAATAGCCAATTTACACAAATAGACGTATTTGTCCTCAGTGTTTTCATTTTGTGGACGAAACTGCCCTAGTTATTATCATTATTTTTAGAAATTCCACGAAGATTGTTGTACCCATATTATCCTCACATATTTGCATATTGTGACCAATATGCCCTTGGATATCATTGAAATTACAGTATAAAAGGGGAAAAAAAATTCAGAACCCTAAATCAATAATATCCTTATGCACTAAAACTCCTTTGCTGCCGCTGGAGTCTTCTTCTTGTCTATCTCGCTCGCTAGTTCATTAGTCTGATCGCCATTTTCGGTAAGTCCTTTGCTCTCTTTCCATTGTATGTTGTGTTATTTGTTTGGATTGTAATTTCAAACCCTAACTTCTCTATTTTGCCTTTGCCGTTGGTCCACCATCTCCGCCGTAGCAACCTCGGGTCTTTGTCGCCATCTGTTTGCTCCCAACAACACTTTAATCGTGGTTTTCAGTAAGTTCCTTGCCTCCTTATGCTGTAGGAAGATTATTAAATTGAGAGGGTTGCTTTGTTTCGATTTTGAGAGAGTAAAATTGCCGTTAAATAATCAATTTGATGCTGAAATGACATGAAAATAGTTCGAAATGGCAATATGTTGTTGGTTTAAGGTTGTGATTTGTTACGTTGTAGTTAGGGTTGCTTTGTTTTTTCTATTTTATGTTTGGCTAGGTGTGTTCCTTTTTATGTGTCTTAAGGTTGAAATTGTGTGTATGAACTGCATTTTGGGTTAGTGTTATGGTTACAATGGTGGTTGGAATTTCATGTGTTTATGGTTGCATTTTTTGTCGATCTATGCATGTAATGGTGGCTAGAATTTCATGTGTTTATGGTTGCATTTTTGGTAGATTTGTGCATGTAATAGTGGCTAGAACATGTGTTTATGGTTGCATTTTTTGTTGATCTGTGCATGTAATGGTGGCTGAAATATTATGTATATATGGTCAATTGACTTGTCAAGGTAATTGAAATGCTTAAATTGATTTATTGTTGAAATTTTGTGTGCATTCGGTAATTATGTTAATAACATTGTGGTTGGAGCTTTGGCATGTCTCGGTTGCTTGTGTTTTGGGTGATATTGGTTTTGTTTGGACTGTTTTAGGCGGCATTTAGGTAGATTTTTGGTTGCATGGTTGGGGTGGGTTTAGTATGGTGAGATGATGGTGATAGTTGGTATCAATTTATGGGTGTTCGGCAAGTGATTGTGGTCATGTTTCCAAGCTTGAATAAGTTATTATTGTTATTATTGGAAATGATGTTTTTAGTTGGTATAAATTTATGGGTATTCGACATGTGCTTGTGGCCATGTTTTAAATTTTGAATAAGTTATTATTGTTATTATTAAGTTTAGGGTTTTGGGTGTTAATGTCCTAATTTAGAAGTAGATTTTAGTTGAGTACCTATTGTCATCAACCTTTGTGAAACTAGAAAGATACCTCTCAACCTCTTCCCACTTCCTATCAAGTACCAGGTCATCAAATAACTTTAAATCAAAGTAATATCCATTTTCAGGCGCGAGCCTGCGCACTGGATGGTCACGATTAAGTTACAAAATAAGAATAAGAATTTGAAGGTGTAAAACATGCATACATGAGTGGATGGGTTAGAGATGAAAGTTTAACATACATGCGAGCACTTTCTTTATAACCTTCCTCATCAAAGAACTATAAAATTAGAAAAACAAGCTATTAGGTAAGAGAATGCATATGTACGACAGTCTTTCTCGCCTCCAAAATCTGTAAACAAACCCAAATCAAAAATTTTGATAAACAAAAATAACCAATCACATAAATAATCAACCTTCAAATCAAGTTACGCTCTAGTTGAATGCTACGAGAAATGATGGAGTGCAAATAATAAAAACTTTTTTGGGGTGGGTTTATCATCTTTTCTTACTCATAATTTCTATAGAAACAAATGAAAGAGTATCGGATTTTATTTTTGGGTAAATGAGGTAATTGTATAAACAAATGAAAAAATTACAACCTAGGAGACCAAAGCTCCCCTATCGCTAAAAACCTTGGACATGCCCAAGGGACAACAAACTATACAACGAAAACAAAAAACAGTGTGGTCCATGAGGTATGAAATACTTTTCAGCATGAGAATCAGAATTTGTTGGTTAGAAAGATAATAAAAATATATTACAATCGTTATTGGAACATTTTTATTGGACAACCTAAAAATTAATCAAAATAGGTAAAGCACACACAGTAAAGAAACTGGATAAAATCAAATCTGATTGGATTCCTGCGATCAAGATAAACCTGAAAATGTACATACTATTGAGCATGAGAATTAGATTGAAATATTTATTGTCCACAACATAATAATTAACAACAAACAATTAATTTAGTCCTAAAACAAAACTTGTAGTACAATAAGCTTAAGAAAGCACAATAAGATTATACCAATTGAATTGCTAAAGAAGACAGTTTTAAGGGATTGATGTGAATTTTTTGTGATGGTTATGTTGGTTTGTGTGATGGATGAGAATTTCTGATGTGTAGGACGTTGAGAATTGTATGAATGTTTGAGGTGAATTTTTGTTTGGTGGTGAGATTATTAAATTATGATGTTTATGTTATTTTCATCGAAATTCAGTTTGATTTCTTCCATATACGATTGCTTGTTATTGGTTTAAGGACTTGTATATGCTTAATTGACTTTATTATGCTTTGATACATGAATTATGTGAAACAGTTATGGCTCGTTTAACAGTCAGGCAGAAGATGCACTTGGTTGGCCTTTTAGTCTTCCATTTGGACATGTTGGAAACCATGTACATGATGCTCGTCCTTCTTGGGTTGGCTAATGTACTTAATATACGGGGTAGACGTAAGGTTGTTATATCATATATCAGTGAGTCTGCGTCTAGGTTTAAGGTTAGGTCATTGAATTTACATACCACGCTTTTCCAAAGTGATGAGTTATGTTTTGAGAGCTGTAGGATGAATAGGGCTCTATTTGACAAATTATGTAATTTATTACTATACATGACAACTTAAAATCAACCTGTCATTCATCCGTAGAAGAATTAGTAGAAACTTTTCTTCACATCCTTGCCCATAACCAAAAGACCAG